CAACCCCTCCGGTTCCCGACCCAAGTCCCCACAGACTGAGCTACATCATATCATGCAGGCCTAACTACAACTATGTGTACTATTGCATCACATTGAATTAGCATTTGTATTACGAGCATTAGAGGCATGTAGACATTTATTGCTTCAGGCTGAGAACAGTATTTCATAATTCAGGAGGAGAACCTGCAGAGACTGCTGGAGATCACCTGTTGTGGATCAAACTGCCTGTAGATATCTGTTTATATTTACTTTGGCTTTGTTGCCCTCCAGCTTAGTGTGAGCACATCTGTGACTAAATGTCTGCCAGTATGTTTCTGTTTATATGATATTAGTGCATGTTTGAATATGAATTATATAACAGGTACCTGAGCCAAGTAGCCACACAGCTGATTATTACCATGACTCAGAGAGATTGCTTGTTTGTTACTGAGCTCTCATGTGACGATACCTGCTGCCATTAGTGATCTTGTATGTGGAGATCAGTTTGTTGTTGGTTCACATGCTCGAAGCTGAGGAAATCACTCATTTTGATGTTACCTGATGGATACGGAGGGTTGTTTTCTGTGGTTATTTGGGCCAAAAGAAGGAAGAAAAATGACTGCAGTTATTTTGCAGACCTGAAAGCTGTGGGGGGGGAAAAAAAATGTAATTTCAGGTATTGTTTGCGACATGAAAGCAGAATAAAACAGAATTTTCAAAACGTATTATTGCACTACCTTTCATTTGACAAATGTTGGATGCAGCATTATCCCAAACTCAAATTATAGTCTGAGAACAACAACAACAACAACAACAACAACAGGATGACACTTTTTTTGCTCAAACTTGAAAGCTTACCAGGTAGGATGATGAAACAATGGTGATGTTCGGTAGTTGTTAAATCTCATTTGTGGACATTTGTCGTGTGAATGCCGGATCTTTCATAAAGAGAAATGAAGAGACACTTGCAGGCAGTTTATCTTGGTTGCTTTCAATGCAGCTGATGAAGAGCTATTTAATGTTACCACTAGGGGGCCCAGAGTTCAGAAGTGTGAAAAATCTCCAGGGCCCAGTTGCTCAAAAAGTAACCTCATCACATTTAAGCTATCGTATTAAATCGATTCTTAACAGAAATTAGAAAATTTGATAAGATCAGGTGATCTGATGTTGTTTTTTTTTTTTTTTAAATGCATGCAGTCACACACCCCGCTCACTACAGCATGTGGTGGATGCAGTTCAGAATCAGATTGCATGTCAGAAACAGGACAGACCCGCGTTATACATTACATACATCAGCCTCCATAATATTCCATCATTCCTCCATCTATTACCAGTTCAATCTTTTCTCCAGTCAGCACATTCTGCTTACAGAACATGCTTTTTTTAAAGTTTATTTATTTTATTTTACCTTTATTTAACCAGGCAGGTCATTAAGAACAGATTCTTATTTACAACGAGTTCCTGGCAAAAACAGAAGCCTTTTGAGGGGGAGGGAGGGGGGGCTGCAAGGAAAGGTCAAAACATGAGTCAGCTTCTTTACACTCTCTTTCTGTCTCTCTGCTGCCTCCTAGATGTTCCAACGGGTACTACGGCCGGCCGACTGTGCCAGGGAGTTACTGCCAGCCCTGCGATTGCCATGACAACTTGGATCTCTCCATACCTGGCAGCTGCGATCCAATCACAGGCCAGTGTCTGCGCTGTCGCCAAGGATATGGCGGCCCAGCTTGTGACAGTTGCGCTGAAGGTTACTACGGAGACGCAATCACAGCCAAGAACTGCCAACGTAAGTACATTTAGAAACAACAACCAGAAACAATTAACAGATAAATTCATTGTTTTCAATAAATCAGTCGCTTTGAATTGTTGATGGGATTTGAGCACAAACATACTTTTACATAAAACGGATACTTTCCCAGCCAAATGTTAAATTAAGGCAGAAGGAATTTTTTACTTAAAGAATAGTTACAAAAAATACATCCTGTATTACCTACAGCTCATGGCCTGTATTACCTACAGGTCATGCGTGATGGCCGCCTTAATTGACACAAAGAGAAGTTTCTCACATCTGCTTCAAAAAGTTATACATGTTTTATTTACCTGCACTCGTTATTGTAATGATGAAAGAATTGGCACATTCTTTCTTTTACAACGTTACAATTCCTGCAACAGCTTCACCTGGTCTGCCTGGTCCAGGAGCTTTGGGTGGCTAACATAAGCTAGCAAGTGTAAGCAAGCTTTTTATCCCTTATTCTGTGTATCTGATACTTTAAGTTGAGTTAGTTCCCTCGATTCGATCTTGTGCTATTAGTACTCAACACTCAGCATTCTTCTTCATCTAAAGATTACATTCTGGGCTCTTTGTCTTCATTTGTTATCTACATAAATTGATATAGAGCAAAAAGAAGAGTTGGGAGAGAGAGTTCAGGACGACATGTAACAAAAAGTGTCAGGACCAAAAGTTGGTCCTTGAACCAGTGTGATGAGGAGCGTATAGCCTCTGTACATATGGGGCCTGTTCTGCTGTCTGAGCTAAACCAGCGCTCCCATTTCCTGTTTTTCTTTACTTCTTTGAAAACCCACAGTGGCCAATGACAAAGGCTGACATCAGTCCGCCTTGTTTGGCAATACATCATTGTAAATTTCACACTTTCAGATTTTTTTTCTATACAATGTTTTTATTGTCTTTGGTAAAATATTAAGTGTTTGATAATGAAAACAATCTGACATTGTATTAAAAGCCTGAAGTGTGAGAAACCTAGGAAACATTTGAATGATTTGAACAGATTGTGTGCGTCTGTGGCTCAGTGGTTGAGTCATCTCTCAACCTGAAGGTTGGGGGTTTGATCCCCAGCTCCTGCAGTCACATGTTAAAGTGTCCTTTGACGAGATACGCAAACTAAAATTGCTCCCGCTTCTACGTCAGAGTCGTGTGAGTCAGCGTTGTGTGAGTCAGCGTTGTGTGAATGTGTATAAATAGTATTCGTTCAAACTGATGGATGCTGATGTTTACGCAGCCTCTGCCAACAGTGTGTATATGCAGAGTTAATGTGATTTGCAGACTAGAAAAGTGCAAGCTCAAGTCCATTTAGAAGGCGCAGTTTGTTTCTTTGATATTGTCCATTAGCAGCACAGGTGCTGTTATCACAAGAACAATCCGACACATAGAAACTATCCGGGAATTCATCAAACACTTCAAAAGAAAATCATCATAAAACAGCCAATATTGCAGCTTCAGATTCTCAGCAGGGGTGTTACACTGAAGAGCTGTACTTCCTATGTGAAACTCAATTTTAGCTAAATGATATGTTTTAATCCTTTCACTTAAACACTGAGTGGATGGCACACCATCTGGAGTGTGTGTGTGTTAGCGTGCGTGTGTGTGTGTGTGTGTGTGTGTGTGTGTGCGCGCGTGTGACTCCATCGACGAGCAGCTGTGCTAGTAGGAGGTGTGATGTCGTAGCGCCCTACTGACTGCCAGCTGTGTTCAAAAGTGAGAAAAAAAACTTTACCTGTAAAAAAATAAAAGAGGGGGGGTGCACTTAAAAAAAAAGAGAGATGGCAGCAAATACGGACGTACAGATGGCGTTTGTTTGTGAAAATCTTCATTAAAAAAAACCTGTGCTGTTGACAATAACAGGCAGGCAGGAAGACAGACGAGCAGAGAGACAGACAGCACAGAAATAGACAGGCAGAAGCAATAAATAGACAGATAAAACCATCAGAGGAGTGCAGAAGCAGGCAGACAGGCAGACGGGGGGTATTAATGTGTATTTGATAGCTCATTGTTCTGTAGTTGTTTCCCCTCTCCACCCAGCTAAATGCTTATTGATTAATCAGCCTGATCTATTGCTCTCCTACAGTGCTGATCGGCTGCTCGTGTCTGCGAGTTGGAGGGCTGTTATCGATCCTAGACGAATGACCACCAAGAATTATTAAAACACAACAACTCTGTGCTTCTGTCAGTCCATCTCTCTCTCTCTCTCTCTCTCAGTCTTCCCCGCTCGCCCTATCGCTTCCAGTCTTAATGAATTTTATCGAGTCAAGCGGCAGAGTTCAGGCCAAGTCCATTTGCGCACTATTAGACTGTAAAAAGCTTTCACTTTTTCTTCTTGATGTCAGAGTTCTCATCTGCAGACAGTTTTTATTCTGCCGCCATTGTGTCTCCCTGTAATAGCCGAGTTTAATTCAGTCTGGAGAATAAAAATGGTTTTGATTTGAGAGGCAAACTTTACCACAAAGCCATTTGTTTGAGGAAGAAATTCAAGAAAATGAACTCCTCTGTCCATTCCTCACACGAAGCAAAGTCGTTTGCAAGTTGTTGAAAAGTGAATTGCTCCGTCAAATTTGTCCGATCACTGGAACAAAGTGGATCTGTAGTAGCTCAATAATGTAATTATACTTCTTGTGTTTCGAACACTTAATGAAAGATACTTCATACAGAAGATCAATAATCTCTTTGGGGATTTGGGGAAACCACACAATTCCAATTTGGACCCTCTTAATGGACTGTCCAGTGCTGTGTTTAGTACAGAGGCTCATCGGCCTCCATGTTGTATTAAAGTGAAATGAAAAAGTTCGAACAAAGAGAACATTTTGAAAACAAAGTCCAAATCGATTTGTTGTTTGATGACTCACAAACAATTAAAGCAGCTTCTTTGGATGAGAGGCGAAAACATCTTCAAAAAGTTTAACCAATTCCAGTTGGTGGGGGGGTTCCTACAGGAAGTCCTTTTTTTCACACTAAATGCTGGCTACATCGGAAGAGAAGTTGCCATCGTTCACAGAGGCATATACATCATGGTCAGTCAATAGCTGATGGATTCTGAGACTGCCTTTGCATTACCATGACCTGAATAGATGAGAACATGCACAAGCTTGACTCAGGAACTTTGATTTCCTGTCATTTCCGTCAGACAACTAACGTTTGTAATGTTTACAAATATTTATTGCAGCAGAACATCCTGTAGTTTGTGTTTGGCGTCCAGGCTCTGACCTCATCACTCCTCAGAGCCTACAGGTGGATGCTGGAGTACTGGTGAGGTCAGAGAGAGACTGGAAATCTTGCAGCATAAATAGACAGCAAATTGTAAAGAGGTGCTGTCAGGTGATTGTTGAGTGTGAAATCAGTGCAACATTAGCATCACTTTTGAAACCAAGATACACGATACCTTTTTAATTATCCTAGCTTAAATTCATTAAGCACTGTCCCTGCAAAACTAAACACTCCATGATAAAAAAAAAACAGAGTTTTTAACATACCTTGAAGATTTCTCATATTACACTTCCAATTACATTACATAAAGTACCATGCTTCTGCAGTAGAGAAATAGACAGGAAACATACACTAAGCATATAATGGATGTTTAAATGAATTCATTAAACAGCGTTTCAGCTCTCTAACATTTCCCCTCAAGGCCCCTGAACACAACATCTCATCATCATGCTCATAACGCAACATATCTGCATCTATGTCTCCTTGTTTACCTTGAGTACAGAATGGACTCAATTTACACATGTTTTTTAATGTAAGCAAACTTAATAGTTTGTTTAACTTATTGATATCAAGCCAACGCACCGTTGTAGTGCTCACAGTATTTAATAGATGCACGGTAGCTTCTCCTGTGGCCTGTGTGTGCGACAGATTGCCTGGCAACAGAACATAATGCATTTCAAGTTACAAATAATTTCATCGTCAGCATCAAGGCCAGAAGAGGGAATAAAAAAAACAACAACAACAAAAAGCAGCATTTTATCCCACAACAAGGCTCGTGTTGTAGCGACTGACAGAACGGAGTCCAGATGGTCCCCGAAGGGTGAAGCTAGAAGGGCGAGAGACTGTGTGTGTGAGAGTGTGTGAGAGTGTGTGAGAGAGTGAGGGACGTACATGTGTGTGCATGTTTTCTTGTATGTTCAGTCAGGCGTTTGTGTGTGCGGTGCGTCTGCATGTGAGGAGTTTTGAGTAGGATGGCATGCATGCGTCTTTAATGTGAAGCCGAAATAAATGTATGTGTCATGTGGACCCCGATGTTTTTTTTTTTTTTGTTGCATATTTGTGTGTCTGTGTTTGTGTGTGCAGACATCTGTTGTACCCTCTCTCTCTCTCTCTCTCTCTCTCTCTCTCTCTCTCTCTCTCTCTCACTTCACCATCTCACACTCAGGTCTGTCCTTCTGTCTCTTTTACATCCAACCCTAGAGATAGTCAACATTTAAAAACAGGCTACAAGTCAGTGTGTGTGTGTGTGTGTGTGCGTGTGTGTGTGTGTGTGTGTGTGTGTGTGTGCGTGTGCGTGTGTGCGTGTGTGTGTGTGTGTGTGTGTGTGTGTGTGTGCGTCTATGGTCTGACAGCCCATCCACCAGATGGGAGCTGTGATGTTCAAGCTTTATAATTGTATATCTAATGGCTTGATTGGCGTGTGTGGGTGTCTCATCTTCTCCCTTCAGTAAGATTTTAGACACACTAAGTTCAATCAACTTTAAGTCATTTTTATTTTTTTATAACTAAGCCATTGAGGACGCGTAAAAAAAACCCCACACAAACATGACAGAGGCCATAACCTGAATGTTATACTGTCAATGCCAGAGGAATGAAACACAGCCACAGAGAGGGGAATGAATGAACATTTTGACTTTACAGTGAACGTTGTGCCATTTAAAAAGAGAATGAGTGACAAAGGGAATTCAAGGCAAGCTGCTTTGTTTGACTTCACTTGTTCAGTAATGTTTGACGAAGCAGTGTACCTTGACTTTGGAGGTGAATGTTTTCCCTCTTTTGTGCACATTGTTAGCCGCTTCTGTACATAAGGAGCTCTTTGTTTACCATTCATCACAGTCTTGTCCACAAAGTTCTCAAATTGTTTTGAATTCTAAACCCTGTTTTATTTTTTAAATCTGTTTTGTATTCTGCCAGTTTTTTGTTCTTGCACTGCATTTTGTAAGACGTGAATTTGAGGGGATTCATTTCATGCACGTTTTCTAGTTTTTTTGTCGCTCAGTCGTTCTGTGCTTGTATGCAACTTTCTGTTCATTCCACGTTTGTGTATGTGGAAATAATTTGAAAGGCCTAAATTGAGTAATTCAGTGACGAAATGGCTTCATTTCTTATTTAGATTATTTAAACCAACCATGCATGAGGAGCGCCTGCTTTCTGTCTGATTAGTAACATTCCTGTTGTGTTTCCTTAAATGTACCAAATGACATCTTAATTTCTGCACTTTCAGGACCCTAAACTGTTTGGAAACATTCAATGTGTGTATCTTGTTGTATGCTGGAGGGTGGTGGAGGATTTACTTGTTCTTGTGCTTTGCACTTATGTCCACTTGATTTACTTTTCTTCTTCTGGCTTTTCCCGAGTACAAATAAGGACCTCATTTTAATCAGAGTAAACAGAACAAATCTACTTTTTCAAGTTCAAAGTTCAGCTATGACATTTTTCTCAGTTGCAGCCTCTATTTGTCACTTTCATATTAAGACATATTTTTTATATACAGACTTTAATCTGGCAAACCTAATTCAGCCCAGTGGACTGAAGAATCTATTTGGGGAGGAAAAGATTTTTCTCCACAGTGCAGTCAGCAGGATATTAAAGTGCATATCGACAGCTAATCCTTAAGAAGACCTTAAGCTGGATCTGAGCTCTTATCCACTCTAGTGTGAAGTATACACACTCACCAGTTTGTGGAACTGTTAAACCAGTATGTCTTATTTCATGTACTCCTGTAGAAAGTCTCCCGTTAGTAAATGACGATTGGTGTAAAATATTTCTCTTCTCCTCTCCTGCAGCCTGTCAGTGCCACACTAATGGCTCTATATCTGAGGCCTGCAACCAGGAGACTGGAGATTGCCAGTGCAGAGAGAACGTGGTTGGGCGACAGTGCGACGAGTGCATGGTGAGTATTTTGATTAACGGCAAAAACCTCTACGGATATTTTCAATATTTATTCTTGCCATTCATGTTTTGAGTTCATACACTTTATTTCACATATAAACTGTTCTTCTGACCTGGTTTCTTTTTTGTAATCTTGCAATACCATTTGTACCATTGGACTATTGTCTTTAGTGTTTTAAACTCAACTATTATATAAATGTCTTTATTTTTTTCTCACTGAGAAGCAGCGTGGGGGGAACCTGGTAGGTCAAAAGATGAATTAATTTAGCTTCAAATCCTTTTTCATGACTTACACGTTTTCACTATAAACGTATATATATATATTTATGTTAAGTTCATTGGTTAATAAAAATACCTGAACATGTAAAACCCAAAGAAATGCTTTGAATTGGTCAAGGATACACAGGTCCTCAAGAGGTTTTGAACATGTGATCAGAGAATGTTTTACAGATAGTGTTTTTATGACAAATGATCAAATGAGTGACCAAATTATGACTAACTGAATATATTCTGGATAAAAAAAAAACTGGTGTATCTCAACGTCTAGATCAAAATCAAATCTTTGTATTCATTAATATGATTTTTGGTCCAGTGTTCGTTGAATTAATGTTGTATTTTTTTTTTTGTCTGTCCCCCCAAAAATATACTACCTTTTAAGATATTATAAATATGTGAAATCCCAAATTTGAGATTCAACATGTGTATCCATTTATCTTGACAGTTTCCCAGCAATGTTTTATTTCCTCCTTGAACAGAAAAAGAAAGATGATGTTGGGAGTTTGACAAGCAGACACTAGCTGTTGGACATAACAGGACAAACTGTTGTTATTGTTGAGAATGTAAACTCACAATTGTTGAAACCTTCAGTTTTTTTTTACCCTCTATTCTCACTGGTACCCATCTGTGACCCTTCTCTCGCCTCTCTGCGCTGTGATTGGTGCAGCCTAATTGCTGGTGGGATGCTGAGCGTCAGGAGTGTATGCCCTGTCGCTGCAGCCCTCACGGCTCTATGTCTCAGCGCTGCGACATCGAGG